ATTCACTGCTAATGAGCAGAGTGCAGCCTTATGAATTTGTCTGAATATTTTTCCCTGAGTCTTATTCTTCTGCTACTGAAGTCATTGGCAGAACCCCTTCTGTTGGTTTTAATGAGGCTGGATTGGACTTTTAATAAGCATCATAGTCACGTAAGCTTGGGGTTTGTTTTTTTAGCATCATGCTTTTTAAGTGTTTTTAGTTACTGCCTGCAGTGTATACAGCTGTGAACTTGGATAATAAATAAGGATTACTTCTATGAAGAAACCTTTGGCAGCAATTTTTGCTTTGCTGAGGTAAGCTGTTAGTCATCTGCCACCAAAGGGTAATCAGCTAGATTTTAAATATTGCTGTGTCTTTCTCCTTTTACTGTATTTTTGATTAGTCAATAAATACATGTTCAGTCTATTTCCAAAGCCCAGCAATCAGCGTAGAAGCAAGATATGTTGCTAAAAACCAACAGGAGCTAACAGTAAGATTTTTGGTGTTTGTTTCTTTTTTTAATGTTGTCCATAGAAATGAGTGGAAAATGGTAAAGCTTCATTGTAAAAAAAAATAGCAAGAAAAAGAATAGTATCGACAGATGGTAAAGTACATTCTCAGGAATGAATAAACTTAGTCACTGGTATAAAAAGTGAAGCCAGAGAAACTGTGTTCCTTGTTACTATTACTGAGAGTGAATTTGGGCTTGGGAACCACACAGGAAAACGCAACTGAGACTCAAATGCTAAATTTTAGGCTTCTTGGTTGGGAACTTGTCATATTTTCAGAAGGTCTCAATATCTAGTCCAAGAGGGTATCTTGTGTAATAAAATAGATATTGAGATAAGAGATGAATTATAGTTATCCATTTGTGATTATTGTGAAATAATTCACAGCTGAATATTCTTACTATTCTAGCTGTACTTTCAAAATCCCAAGCATAACAGTTGAAAACGTCGCTGTAACTAAATGCACTGTGTAAATGGAATTATTAAGCATTTTGAGGAGATAAAAAATGGGAATGGCCTTGGCATGGCTGACAACCCATGTGGATATATCCTGGACAGTGAGTAGAGAGTAAAGAAATTACATGTTTGGATTCTTATTCACTTATATAAGGTTACTTGTTGTGATTCTGTGAAAAAGGTCACTGACTAAAAAAACCCTAAGAGTTTAGCCATATCTAAAGAAATATTTCTGGTAAGTCAGGAGCCTAGTTTTATCTCTCCCCCCGCCTTCATCTTTGCTCTGCATAGAGACATTTACCCCATGAGGATGGCACTCACTTGGATTGAAATCTGGTTTGAAAAAAACTGCTTATGATATATCTTCTAGTGTTTTAACTACCAGCAGATAATAATAATACCAAACTGAATTTGAAAGTTTACAGTAAGGAAAGAAAGGCAAAAAAACACAGAATCCCTAAAATTAAGCAGCATAGATAATCCAGCAACATAAATTCTGACACACAGCAGTAGTCTAAGGGAAGTTGGAGTATTAATGAAATTGCAAGATGTGTTGCAGACAACCGGTGCTTAGTTGTTGAAGGCAGCACAAGTTTACAGTGGGGCTTGGGGAGCAGGGCACAAAACAGAACTGCAGAAATTTGAGAATCATGGCCAGTACTTCTGCAGACTTGCTGAACAGTTGTCTCATATTTTTATTCCTAACTAGCACTCTATATTTTCTATTCCTGACCAAGTGTTGCAACAAGGAAAGGAATTGGAGGTCAAAGTCTGGGCTGTAAATTCTGCAGGGTAGAACACCATCCTTTGTGCCTGTACAGTACCTGGCACAAGGGGCTCTGCATCTGTGTGGGGACTGAAGACATTACTGTAATAGAAGTATCAATATTTTAATCATCTGCCTTCTTTCATATTACCTCACAATTGTTCAGAGTAATTTGGCCATTTGTTTCCCTTGCACATTTAAAGTGATCCCAGTGAGACTCGACTGGATTGAGGTTCAGGGATTATTTGGACCTGATTATTCAAATTCCCTGCACCTGCGGGGTTTCTTTTGATATTACATTTTTCAAACTGAATGTTCACTAAATACAATGAATTTAAAATATGGAAAAAAATGAATTAAATGAAAACACTAGAACTGCATCTAAGTTTATAATCAGTGTGATGTGGGGGATGGAAGTGAATGTGGAACCCAGCTGAACAGTGTGTTGGCATAAGAACTCTTGACTTACAGCTGTTCCTTTGTTCTTTTTTGTTAGTCTTACAGCATTTTTTTTTCCAGAAAACCTTACTTTGCATGAAAGACAAATTCATACAAGAAGATTGTCTAGCTTTGTGCATCATAATTTAAGCAGAATGAATTGAAATCTGTTAAAATTATACAGCATTCTAATGGAACGGGCAGTTTAGCCTAATAGGTCATTTCTGTTGAAAATTAAAATCGAGTCCTTTTTCAAAGTAAAAATCACCTCAGACATAAACATTTTCACTGTCTAGTTAAGGTTAAGATGTGTTTAATACCAGAATTACTGAGATAAAAGAAGAAAATACAAATCTGTTACAGGAATTACACATGGAAATTGCCTACAAATAGCTTCTCTAGACACTGAAAGAATTAAACAGATGGGTAAAACTGAAGGGCTGTTTTTTTAAGTATTTCTAATCTCCTGCAAGTAGTTCAGGGTTTCTCATAGGACATGGTTCCAGCTGCGCTTTTTCTGCAGCATAACCAATGAAGAATGACATCTTTTCATGTTAGAAGCATAGGATCACTCAAGTTGGGAAGTCTCTGCCTTGGGAGATCTCTGGCTCCAAGGTGGCTGAGGTATGAGGTCAGACCAGGTTGCTTTGGATTTTATTGTATCTTACCTGAAAGGATGGAAACTGCACAACCTTCCTGGGCTTCCTGCTCCAATGGTTGATTATCCTTATGGTGCATAAGCTTTTCCCTATATCCACTCAGAGTATTTATGACAGCATTTTCCTAGGAAATGATATTTCAAGTTTCAATGCTTTGTCTAGAATTAAAGATTGAAATTCTGTTTCCAACATCTCAGATGAATCCTTTAATCATTGTGATATAGGCTGGTTAGGTGGGCTGGTTAGGTATTTGCTGTTAAGATTGTTCTGCTGGGCAGAATGAACTCCAAGTGGACAAGAACGAGCCCTTGGACAAGAAAAAGAGAGTTAGGGGGAGCAGGAGACTGATTTAATGGTTAGCTTATTCAAGGGCTAGAATGAAGAGGTTTTCTATTTCTTGTCCATACTTTCATAATATGCATTTTATTTTAAATTGTCACTGGATAAAGTGTATAAATACAACTAGAAGACAGATTTTTGGCCACCCAGAAAAATATCTTATCTGGATTAAAAAGTCATGTCTTGATTCTGGGACTTGTTTTTACATAGCATCATCTATTGAAGCATGAATATTTTTTGTGGAGGTTTTCCAGCTTAAACAGGAAGAACATGTCCTGTATAGCCGGGTGGTGAGAGATTTATTTAAGCAGATAGACTTTGAGCCTCCTCCCTCAAGGTATTTTAGCCAGTGGGTTAGCATCAGTGTTTCAGTCACTTGCCTGTTACAAAAGCGAAAGCACTCTCATCTGGACATCTTAAATTAAAGTGGCCATGTTCATCACAGCCCATTTCTGTAACCATGCCTGCTCATGCTCTCAAAACTGACTGGCTTAGTCATGGGGCATGTTTGCTCCCTGTCAGATTTGGAGATTCAGATCAGGTTTGCGTATCCAATAAAAACAAGCATTTGTTAGCTTCAGCGGCAATGGAGTTTAGATGAAGAGAAGTGTCCATCCCCTTACCAGCTGCACCCAAGTGCTCCATTTTACAATGAAATTAGCAAATACAGTAACAAAAATATCTATTTTTTCAGGTTATTATTATTTTTATTTCTTCCTTTACACCATTCTTGGATGACCTGTTCTTTTGATGTAGAAATTGCAGTGTGCAAGGCCCAGAACTATATGGATGGAGGAGATTGTCTCATGGTTCAAATGGCTGAACACCACTATAGAGAACTGGATTCCTCTCCTACCTTCACCCCCATGTCCTAGTGGGCTGCTGAGCAGTTCTCTTGTATTAGAATTTTTATAGATTTTACAGGTATTTGCTCCCTCTGGACATGCTGAAAGATGGACATGCTCTGGACATGTGTACAGCTCAAGAAAATAGAACCAATATTTTAAAAGCACCCTGCTAGATAAACAATGACTTTTTCCTTCTAGAGAATACTAGTTGTCAAAAAGGTATGCAAATTAGTGAATATTTAGTAAGGTGGCCTTCATTTCTCTGTGCTTCATTAGAGGTGTTTTGAGGATAGATAATTATAGTGAGAGCTGACAGCACCACACACACACACAAAAAAAAAGCAGAGAAAATCACCAAAAAAAAAACCTTATGAAGAAATTGGTAATTTTGTATTCAGTGCAGGGTTTGGAGGGTGTCTGATAGATAAAGTCTAGAATCAAACACAGAATGATGAAGTTAAAAAGACAACCTAAACAGATCCCCATTCAGTGAGCACGGTCCATTTTAAACACTGAACAAGTCTTCTAGGGAGTAAAAAACTGTAACATTAGCTATAACTTTTGAGTTCTTGAATCTGAAAATTTTAATATATTTGTAAAATGAGATTACAAAAAATGCGTAGTAGAAATGGCACAAAGAAGTGTTCTTCAAGGAGAATATCTCACAGATTTCATTTGAGCAAGATATAAGAGTTTGTGCAATTTTTTAAGTACAAAGAGCTTTTGTTATTGTTGTTAGTGAGGAAATGAAGCTGCTTGTTATCAGTAAACTTCTCAGCAGCTGCCTAGTCAACTGGATGCCCATGTTTCCCTGCCCAGCTACATGCTGCTGTGTCCTTCTGGGGGCAGCAAATAGAGCTGGAAGAGATCTAATATTCCTGAGGAGTCCTGTTGAAACCTGCCTTGCTGTGAAAAGGAACTGAAATCTACAATTCAGGTATCTGGAAGCTTAATTTTTAAGCTTTAAATGTACAGTCTTCATTGCCCTCATCTCTAACTATTTAGGCCTCCTATGTGAATCGCAGTTTTCTCTGGATCAAAAGGCAAAGGAAGCTTCGGTTTTTAATTTCTGCCTGTCAGTCACCCAAGCAGAGTAGATGACCCATTCCTAGGAATTACAGGAGCTACGCAGGCAGCAACCCATTTTACAGGTAAAGGAAAACTCCGTTTTTGTTTGGTACCTTTGTGGCTGTAATTAACATTTCTGTTTAGTTCTAATTATAGTTTTTGTATCTCAGCCATTATGCTAATGGTGTTGTTCAGTAGTATGTGAGMTTGCATTCATTATCACTGGTGAATTAAACCTTTATTAAAGAAAAATTCCCCTAGGCCTCATTCTGAAGTTAAGTAATTATTCATTTGGTTTTATCCTAGCAATTAGCTTATATACTGTAGCACTCATGATTGAGTTTCTATACCTCCCCAGATGAGATTAACCCACCATGGTAAATAAATGCCTAACAGCTCCCAATGTGTTGTTTTAAGCACATTCTTATATAGGAGAGGAAAAAAAAAAAAAGACTCATCATTCAGTAAAATAGCTTGCTTGTTCCTAGCAAACAATATAGTTAGAAGAAAATTGTGCTGGACATTTGGGGCTCTATGCAGCAACAGTAATAAATGAGTTTATGAAGCCCTCCAACAGAGCAGTTAATTCTTTCTTCAACTGCAATGACCTCCTTGGTCAATATGCTTCATAACTGAGATATGCAGTGTACTGGGCCACAGTCACGTAGTAAATCAAGCCTTCTGAGAGCTTCCAGACATAAATAAATTTCCTGGATTGTGTAGCTAGACTCTCAGTCATGAAAGAGAAAAAATAATATCTAGGAAATTCTTCTTGGCCCACCCCATGTATTCATACTTTGTGAATGCCTCACATGCATTAACTATTAAGTTCAACATTACTTCCCTGAAGAATGATGAGTTGTTAGATCTGCTTGAGTGTTAGAACATGGAGGTGTGGAGAAATGAGATGGTTTACCAGCAGTTGCACAAGAAAACATCAGCAGAAACAGACTGAATATGCAGTTCCTCAGTGGCCTGATAAAATGTTTTATTTTTAACAGTTTTCTGTCTCATATAGCTTTCAAGAACACATCCAGTTAAAAGCATCTTGAAAATGAGAGTTAAGGGCAGAGTTCTATGCTCTGTTTAAATTCTGTTTTTACTGATTCAGTTCATCTTAGGCCCTTCCCTTTAGTAGGCATTGTCCTGCCTTTAATTACAGTTAAAGGTTTTAGATATATCTAAACCACAAATGCCTTCAAAAGCACCAATCAAGCATCCTTGATTCCACCAAGACTTTAATGATGGATCATACATGATCATTGCATTAAGTGAAACCTAACATACTACCACAGTCAAAACATTAATCAACTTCCTGGGAGTTTTGCCTCAGGAAGTAATTTGAGATACGACCTTGAGTGTCAGTGGCTAGTGTATACAATATGCAGACATTACCTACACTGTGTTGTGAACCCAGTGAATATACATAGATAGGAAAAATTAGTATACATTTATTTTTGATAAGCATCATTTAATCTCTTGTGTATTCTGGCAATATCTGCTGTATACTCACAGGATCTAGGAGCTACCTGAAACATCTCCACTTTCAATTCTAAATGCAAGCTGCCTGCCATTAACCTTGCCTCAATATCAAACATGTGAAGCACAGCAGACATAAAATAAATGAAAAATAATTTTGAAAACTGTCACATAATTTTCTCACTGGATGTGAGAAAGAGGAAGAAGGAGGAGGGAATCACAGTTCTATTCATGTCTTTTATGTATTTGATTTCAGATTTTCAGAGGTTATCTGGCCTACCTGCATTACCACCAATGGAAGTTACATGCCAAAGTATACTTGAGTTTGAGAGCTTCCGTTATATGCAGCTGAAGATGGGATGAGAATTTGAATAAAATTGAAAGTCATTAATAAATCATATTATGTAATGCATGTGAAGTTATAAATAGCATTACATAACATGATGCTATTTACAGTAGTTGCTATCCCACCTCTTGGGATGCTAAGGAGGTTGCTTAGCATTCATAAAGTTTTTGGAACTAATAAAGTGATGTATGTACCAAGTATTATTGTGCTGTACATACTGTACTGTATGTTGTTATTGTAATCCAATTGTTTGAATTGGATACTGTAAAGCTTCCACACAGAAGTCACTTTCAACTGAATGTGTTCTACAGGCCAGGACATACATTGAGGGCCCTCTGAGACCATAAAGAAATGGTTCATTGGATCAGTGCTGTGGCAGTGGGGCCCAGTGGTCAGGGAGATTTGAGTTCCATGCTTTGCTTCTAGTCCCTTGCTTCAAGCAAACCTCTTCAAGTTTGGAGTAAGACTTCTTTTGATTTCCACAGTGGTAAAGGAAATCAGCCTGGGTTTTTATCCCTCCTATGTTATCAGAAACGATGGTTTCAGAGTAGTGAAAACTCTATAAACCATTTTTTTCTTCACGAATACTTGTTCATGTGACTAGCTGCCTGTGCTGTGCTCCAATGGCTGGCCAGTGTAGGAATGCCAATACACAGTGCCGGGCCTCGGCGTATCCAGTGCAGGTGTGCAGAAAGGAGGTAGGTCTCCTCCACGGACTCATAAAAATGCTTTCAATTGTGGCTCCTCAAAGCTCTCCAAATGGGAAAGATGGAAATGATGATGGAAAAGAAACCCCTAAAACTCCAGAATTTTCCCCTAATGAAATTCTCCTTCATTGACTCCTACTGTGACCTTGTATCCTACAGGAAATGGTGGCCTGAAGCTGCATTCTTAATTGAAGAGAGATGTTTACTTATGTGTTGTTTGATGATGGGACATCAGGCAATCTGAGTTGGTCAGTCTGCATACCCATTAGTTCTGTTTCTAGACACTTTTGCCTTCTCCAAGGAGTCTTATTAGTTGCTGTGCATACTTCTGCTGTGCTCGACTGCTTTTTACAAGCTTATGTACATAGCAGCAGTGATTATTTTTCTCTCTTCCCTAGGGGGGGGAAAAAAAAAAAACAGCAGTTAATGCTGTTTCTCCTTTCAAAAGTTACTTATTTAAATATAAGATTTCTGCTAATTTTGCCAGAGTAAGTATAAAATGGTTGTATTTCAAAGCAGGCTATCACAAAAATGTAGAAGATATTTTACTGAGAGAGAATTTACTGAGAGTTAATTTCAATGCTTTTCAGTTTTCCTGGTGGCACGTGCCATGAGGTTGTGACAGGAGTGCAGAGGGTACATGCTGAGTAGTCTGTTGCTTCTGATAGACAATTTGGTGGCAGAACTTGTGCATGATATTTGAAATTGTTTTAATCATTAAAGAAGTGTAGTTTTTTTTGTTTGTGATGTTCACTTGGAGAGGAAAGAAGATATAATAAAAGCTAGCTGATTTATATACTTAGTAACATATTTCTCCCCCCAAAAAGGGCCTACTGGATTAAAGTGTTCTAATATTACAATTACTTTACAATATATAGTATGATATATTACAAGTGTGTTATAATAAAACAATATCTTATGAAAATGGAAGGCAGTGCCCTTGACTTTTCTTCTGCATCATCATCTTTGGCTATAAGTGCTTGTGATTAAAAGCTTTAGAAAGCATAAGAACATTTTTTAATATTAAATTATTAGTTAAAAATCTATACTTAAATGAAATATTGTTGATTTTTCTCCCAGTCCCTGTATAGTGATAGCTATGGAGGATTGTTAGGGCCTCAGGTTTGTTTGGTAGGCACAATGGACTGAGTTCTTGTGCCTGCCATAATAGCACTCTCATCCTAAAGAAATCTGGTCATTTTAAGGAAAGCTTTCACATATTTTGGTAAAAAAAAAGATGTGTTCAGTTTTGTTCTCTCCTATTCTTTTACGTATAAAATCTGCAGTATATTTTTTTAAATCACTTTGACATGTTATTGTTGTTATTCCACATAGTGCAGTAATGGCTTGCTGCCAGTCAGACACATTCTACTTGCCTTATTTACACATTGAGGTCAATGAGATTCCAAAGTAAGATTACTCATTTGTCCCTAACCAATTCAGATTTGCCAGTAAAATGACCTATGTTGTCAGCTGGATTGTCTTAAACCAAAGATCCTGGGTCTCTGCTGGATAAATGAACCGGGTTGCTAATGTGACTGGTACTAAGAATATTTTTGCTTGACCTGCACCGTTCAGTTTGCTTAAACAGTATCAGTTATTATGATAATATAACAGCTATATTGCTAACAGCATGTAATGTTGTTGTTATATTAATGACCTCTTTTCCATTTCTGGAACCCTGAGTCATGGTTACGAATGGTCAAACATCTTGCGTTGCCTGACTGTGGGGCCAGGCACTAAGGTTGGAATGATTTTCAGTCCATTTTGGATTCTTCTTCATATGTTTGTTTCTTCTACATTGGTGACTGTGTCTTTTGTTCCAAGAATAGTCAACAAAGGGTAGGGAATACAATTTTTAGATTGCTTTTGGATTTCCCAAACTTGGAGATGCAACTGGGGACTGCAAGAACTTGCATTTATGCAGTTCATGCATATGTTAAAGGCTATGTTTTTCAATATTGATTTTCTTTCACTGTTCACCCACAGGATGTGTATTGCTTTCCTTTCATTGCTTGGTTAACAAATAAAATATATATTAGCATGAAAAAGAAAAACTATTTAATGTAATTTCACAGCTACAGTCTTTATTATATGCAGAAGCTTGTTCTTTACCGCTCACAATTGTATAACCAATTGTTCCCCATAATCCTCAGCATTTAGGAATGAGGTTTCCATGGTAATTTTAAATTTTTTAAATACTTAAAATTTCTCTAAATGGATAGTTTAAATAAGTGATCAGTTATCTAGTAGTATATTCTGACTACTCATTGGTAGAAGAAGCTGAAAAGTATCTCTGTTATAAAAATAGACTAGTTTGTTCAATCATAATAAGTTCACAATCTGCAGAATCATGACCCTACTGATAGTGTTAACAAAAGCTTGCTCCTTAATTATCTGCATTGCATTCAGCTGCTGTTTCCCTCCTAAACTCAATTATAATTCTAATAGCAGCTGTGCTGCCATTGTTTGTTGCAATTCATTTTAAAGAAGTTTG